GCTCCTCCCCCGCCCGGCGCCGCCCCTGCCACCGCCGCGCTTTGTTCCCCGGCCGCCGCCCCGAGCCCGGGCCGTGGGGTAGGGCACCTGTGCCGCGCTGCTCCGCCGCCCTGCCACGGGGGACGGGGGCAGGCTCGCTGCTCCGCACCCCGCCCGGCTGCGGGACCCACCATCTCCTCCTGGGTCTGCCTGGTCGTGTCTGCACCGACTCCGGGCACCGGTTTGTTCGCAGAGCTTAAGGCCAGACGGGAATACAGGCAGTGCTGACAGGCGGCCCGGTACAGTACTGCTTTGTGAACCACACAAGCCCCTATCTAGTGTTGCTGCTGTTATGTTAGTAGAAGTGTGCTGGTTTACAGGAAGCTATCCCAGGGGAAGGGGAGTACAGGCAGTCCTCGACTTACAACGTTTCCAGTTACAAGGTTTCCCACTTACAACGTTTCTAAATGCACACCCTGTTTCGACTTTCTCGACTTCACACCACTTGATCCAATGCAACGCCATGCCAGCGAACAAGTTGCTGTCACCCATCTCCCTGGAGAACATCTGTGCAAACTTCCTTGGACGCTGCCTTTAAGAAAGCAGACAAGACTCCAGAAAAAACCTGCAGCCAAAACTCCTGAGAAGACTCCAGCCCAGAGCCCTTCAAAAAGTCCAGCAAAGTCGCCTCAAAGAAGTCCTTCCAAATCAATATGATTGCTATTTACAATAAAACTACATTAATGTAGCTACATTACTCATCTATAATTGATTGGGTATAAAATTCTGGGTTATTTTTGGTGAAAGGGTATCCGGCCTTGGTTCAGGAATCAATCCCCCATTTATAACATTGTTTCCTATGGGAAAATTGGTTCTGAATTACAACGTTTCGACTAAAGACACCGTTTTCAGGAGCCAATCGTGTTGTAAGTCCGAGGACTGCCTATATTTGACACTTGGAAAGTCTGAGCTCCTGTCCTACTGGACCAATACATGGCAGGGTTGCCCCTATATTAAGCTCAGTGATTTGTTCCTGCCTCAAACCTCTTTGAAGGTATCTAGAGATGGAGACTCCACTGCTGCCCTTGGGAATTTATTTCAGGGTCAACCACCATCATTGAAATAACTCTTTTTATATATATATATATATATATCAGCAATCCCTCACAGTCAAGGAAGATTGTCTTCCTTGATCTGTGGGTCTGAAGATGGCTGATGAGGCTGGATTGACAGACTCTGTTGCAACTCAGGCACGTGTTTCCACGTGGGGTGGGTAGCTCTGGTTTGCAATCTGCTTTTTCTGCCACTGCCCTTTTCTGTTGTGGTTGTCCGGTTTCAAAGTCCTGTGATCCTTGCAGCAGACTCTTCCTCCATTTGGGGCAGCCCTGGATGATAGTCTCCCATGAGTTTATGTCAATGTTACATTTTTTCAAGTTGGCCTTGAGAACGTCCTGGAGGCACTTTCTCTGCCCTTCTCTTGAGTGTACACCTTGACTGCGCTGGGGGAATCAAACTTGCTCCGGAGTGTGGAGTCAGGCATGCAGATGATGTGGCCATTCTGGAAGAGTTGGTATCAGATGATCATGACTTCAGTGCTCATGGTATTTGCTTGCAAAAGGATGCTAATGGTGATCCACTGGGCTCTCTTCCCACTGGATTCAAAGGATCTTCTACAGGCAGCATTGACTTGAGGTGTCTCCTGTACATTGTCCACATCTCAGCTCCATACAGTAAGGTGGGGATCACCACTGCTTGATAAACCATGAGTTGGATCTGATGTCGTGATCTTTGAACACCTGTTTCCTCAGGCGACCAAAGGCCACACTTGTACTTTAAGGCGATATTGGATTTCTTTGTCCATGTCAGCCTCCTGTGAGAAATTGCTTCTGATGTGTGGGAAGTACTCAACAGTCTCCAGAGTCTCACTGGGAATGTGAATTACTGAAGCGGGACTGCTCATTAAGATCTCATTGATGGAGGACCTTAGTCTTCTGACCTTAGTCTTCTAGTCTTGTGTGTCAGTGAAGATGTTGATGATTACCTGAAGGTCTGCTTCCAAGTGAGCAAACACTACAGCATTATCAGCGTACTGGAGCTCAATGATTGAGGTCAGGGTGGTCTTGGTTTTGGCTCAGAGTTGGCTGAGATTAAGCAGTTTACCATCGTTCAGTAGTTTAGATCCACTCTGACTGGAAGCTTGTTGGTGGTCAGAGGTAGCACTGCAGTAAAGAGTATCAAGAAAAGTGTTGGAGCGATGGCGCGGCCTTGCTTAACTCCCATCTTAACCTCAAAGGGATCTGTGAGATATATATATATATATATGTGATAGATATAAATATACTAGATTAATGAATCCATTAGTACCTGGTATTTTTTCCATATGGGGGTGCTTATACACTGTAATCAAGCTGCCTCTCAATCTTTTTTTTAATGAGCTAAACAGATTGCCCTCTTTAAGTTTCTTACTATAAAACACTTTCCCCAGCCCTCAAGTAAGTTTTGTGGCTCCCTTCTGCATCCTCACCAATTTTTCAACATCCTCTTTTAAATGTGGACACCAGGACTGTATGCACTGTCCGAGAATCTTCTCACCAAGAAAATAAATCACTCCCCACTCCTGCTCACTACTCTTCTGTTGATATATCCAAGAATCACATTATCCCTTTTTTTCCACAGCACTGCATTGGGAGTTCATGTTGAGTTGCTTGTCTATTAACCCCTAAATCCGTTTCAGGATCACTGCTTTGCAGGACACAGCCCCCATTGTACAGGTCTGGTTTGCATCCAAGGGGATGGGCAAGATCCAAAGAGGCACCTAAAACAGTACTTAGGTGGATTGTTGGCACCTAAGGCCAAAAAGAAAAAAAATTCAGTTCACTCTGCTTGGCTGCCTATCCTCATTATTATTAACCACACCATCCACAAACATTACCAGTAATGATTTTGTATTTTTGGTGACTTCCTACTGATAATTATTAATGCCTTTTTTGAGCCCTGCCAGTTCTCCAGTACTTAATTCATGTAACATGGATTTTATCAGTGTTGTACAGTGCTAAACTCTCAATTAGATTGTCGTGCAGTACTAGGCCAAATGTCTTACAAAGTAAGATGTATAGATACCTTTACTAACCAAACTTCTGTTTTATTCTTTTCCAGAGCAGGGAGGCTGTACTCAGGGTTCTTCCCGGTTGTTTCCATTATGATGAAAAGTTGATGTTACAAGTCAAGTATTTCTTTGGTGCACTCTTGTTTATATACTGAGAATGTGCACAAAGTCCTGCTTCCCTGAATGTAGCAGAAACATGCATTTCAGACTGTTTCCTCATTCAGAAATACATGTTGGCCTGCTCAGTAAACCTTATGCCCCAGAGAAGTCTTATCTATCCTGGGGCCACACTCACAACAGCTTTCTACTGCTTTCTTCACTTTCTGCTGAATTTCATACGTACACATTGGAATGAATCGGTGCCCCAGTCCCTGCAAAAGTGCCTGGGAAATTCCTCTTTCAGCTGGTGTGTGTTCCAAAGTTTTGGTGGCTGAGTTCCAGTTATGTTTGAAAAGCAATGAGCACATGCATATTCACAGTTCCTGTGAGGTGGCAAACCCGCTACGCTTTGAGCAGTTATTCCATCATCAAGTTATTGCGTCTCTGCCAAGTATAGTAAGATTTCTAGCATTGCCAGGAAGCTGACTGAAAGTGCATGAAACGCTCCTGGGCCTTCTACCAGATGCAAGCATGTGCCTTCCTAGCGTGCACATCATGCTCTGGCGGTGCAGCCGCTGCTGCAGAGCTGTCCAGGGCTACCAGGAGTGCACGGGTGTGCATATTCAATGGTGGCTTGGTGGTAGCAGCTGATGTCTGTCACCTGAAGTTCTGATGGCTGAGAGAGCTCACCTCAATCTCCTGGGGTTAATGCTTGCTTTGTCATGTGGCCTATTATCTCTGATAGTAACTTCTTTTTTTACATAAAAAGGGCCTAACTACCCCTCCCAATTAGCCGGAATAAGGGATATTTAGCTCACCCAGTAACTTTCACCCAGTCCTGGATCAGACCATAAACTGCATCCAACTGGAGGGCCTGGTGGCAAAGTGGTGGGGCTACTCCTGGCAGGGTGGCTTCTCTGAGGCATCAGGCAGTCAGGGGCAGCTCTTACCTGTTGCTGGCAGAAGCTACAACTGTTGAGGCACTGCGCTTCTGGACTCAGTCTGGCCTTTGCATTCTGTCTCAATGGTATAAAGGGTGCATGATTGGTCTTGGGCAGGCTCCACTCCTCCATACACTTGCTTAGGTGTACACATCAAAAGTCTTAGTGTGATGGTTGTAGAATGCCGTACAAGTGGATTCATCAGGCACCTGACTAGACCTCTTATGCATGCACCGTGATCCAAAGGATCAACAGTTGCCTACCGACTTTCATCAGGGCTGGGACTGATAGCAACTATTGGGACCTTTCAGTACAAGACTTAGCAATTATCTCCTAAATGCATGAAATAGGGTTTGACACAAACAATTTCCTTTAAAATAGTAATTGTTTCCTGTCTCTTCATGCTTTCCTGTCCTTTAATTCTATATGAGTTGAATCAGCATTTCCGTTATCAGCATTTCTGTTATTAGCCCAGAACTAATATGAGTGTTCCCAGTCTATAGATATCTCGTGTCTCACAGTCACAGTCCTCTCTGAAGAACATTGCAACTTTAGTACTCTTCCAGTCTCTTGGCATTTCACTGGTGTTTCATGATGTATTAACTATTAGTGCCAGCAGGCCAGAAATTTCACTTCAAAACTCTTGACTGGAAATTATCTGAGCTTAATGACTGAAAAATGTTAAGTAGATGTTTAGTAGATGTCTAATTCTCCACACTTAGTTACCATCTGAGAAATGGCCACAGTCTCAATGCAGGGCAATGACAGATTTCAGATTTTAGAGTGGGGAAGTAGTGGTGGGACAGAAGGCAAATCATTAGTATAATACAAATAAACATGATGCAATATAGCTTTTATAAAATAAAAGTCTGCACATAGCATAATCTCTAATGCATTGGTCAGTAGTAACCTCCCACATCTCTTGTGCTGGACTGAATTCTTAATCTCTGACTCCAAGCAGTTTGTTGGGGCCTGCTAGCACTTGAGTGAATGCCAAAGCCTGTCCATTCTGATGGTCATCACCTGGCGTTAGGGTGCTGGACTGGGGTAAAACCAAGACAAAGCATCCTTTGGAGTGGTAATTTCAGGATGATGACTGAATCCTCAAAAATATGGGATGGTTCTCATATCTGACCTAAGCACCACCAGGGTGGTGTTACCAGCCCTGTCTCTGGTGTTACTAGCCCTTTGCTTCTTGTCCTCCATAGTTCGGTACACCCTCCCATGGCTGACTGGTCCTTTTCATGTCCTCTAGAGTAATCCCTCTCTCTTTGTGTCTTGCTACAAGGAAATTAATGTGTGTTGTAACAGGGGGCCATGGCCTGGGAAAGGCTGAGAGTTGCAGCCCCAGGCCTTTCCTTTCCTCCTCTCCCACTATATTTTTACCTCCTTCTACTTCCTCAGTCCTTTTCCTGCCCTTTCTATATCCTTCTCTCCTTTTTGCTGCACTTTGTCTACTAGAGCCCTCTCTGCTTCCCTTCTACGATGGCTGCTTGGAGGGGCAGATTCAAGGGGGATGTAGTGTTGTGGATGTATTCTGCCACTATTGCTGCTGTCCCCAGCTGATCTGGGTGCAGGGTAGGGTGGCCATCATAGAGGACATTCTGGTTTTCTGCTACTCTGTCCTCTGTCCTCTACTGATACGAAACCCAACACCTTTATGTCCTCTATTTTTCTCTTCAAGAAAAAGAGAAAAATAGAGGACATAAAGGTGTCCAGTTTCGTATCAATAGAGGACAGAGGACAACTGGACTGTCCTCTATGGTGGCTACCCTAGTGCAGAGGGAGGCCCCGAGCTGCTTCTGTCCCACTCCAGC